TAAAAGGAGAGCAAATGGCTCGTGTCAGACCTCCCCTCTCTCTCCCCACAGGACTGTGTGCAGCTCAATCAGTACAAGCTGAAGGATGAGATTGGGAAGGTGCATACTGGCTGGGTTTGGGGTGGGATGGGAGGATTTGGGGAGGGAGAGGGGGATTTGGGGTGGGAGGGTGTTGGCTTTGCTTTTGTTTCCCAACCAGTGAGGCGGCCAGTTCAATCACTCACCATGGCAACTCAGGCAGCTCTTTACCTTGCTGCTGCTCTGTTCTGGGTGGTGCCAATTGAACTGTATATTTTAAAAATTATGATTAATTTTCCCCATTCCCCTTCCCTCTCACAAAATGGGGCATTTGAAGCTTTTCTTTGCTGGTGGTGTGATGCCAGATCACAGTCTCGGTTTCTCCCAGCACCTCCCACTAGCTCTTTGATCCTAGAGGGGGTGGGTTTGTGAGGAGCTCAGAGCCTGGCTTGGTGCTGTGGGTTTTTTTTGACTGTCCCTAACTGGTGCCCCATGGCTCTGCCCCTCTCCAGGGCTCCTACGGGGTGGTGAAACTGGCCTACAACGAGGACGATAACACCTACTATGTGAGTAGCTCACGGTCCCAGAGCCTGCAGCAGGGCAGGTGGGACAGGGATGGATCCCCTGCACTGCCTCCCTGCCCAGCTCTGTGCCAGCCCCATCCCACCAGCCCCATTTTATCCTTGATTTGCCCCAATTCCATACTTTTCTTGCAGGCAATGAAGGTTCTCTCCAAAAAGAAGCTGATGAGACAGGCAGGCTTCCCCCGTAAGTGGCACAAACCCGTTAGAGTGTGGGAGGTTTTAGGGATCTCAGGGGATCAATCCCATCTTTGCCCTCCCCGCAGGCCGCCCACCTCCTCGAGGGGCCAAAGCTGCCTCCGAGGGCTGCCTGCAGCCCAGAGGGCCTATTGAACAGGTCTACCAGGAGATTGCCATCCTGAAGAAGCTGGACCACCCCAATGTGGTGAAACTGGTGGAGGTAAGCACGAAGGGGCATAGATGCTGTGGGGATGGACTACAAGATGGCTTGGGCAGAGGAGAGAGACCACAGAGGAGCCTGGACGGCCATGGCAGGTCCTGCCTAGGGAAGACTGGTGTTTTCCTTGGTTTAAAAGGATTTTTGTTCTCACCTCCCAAAAGAGGATTTTTTCCTTCCCTTCCCAGAAAGGAAAACGCAGAAAAATGTTACTTCCTTGGAGGAAACAAGTGCCCAGTTGGTTTTTGAGGAAGAACTGGTGTTTCTGTGGGTTCAGTAGTGCAGCTGCCTTGCCCTACACCCACTGCCTGCATGGAACGGTCCAAAAGTCAAAAATTAAGGATGGGCAGGCTGGAGTTTATTTGGCTCATGAGTCAGATGATGCTTCCTGTGTGTTTTAAATATTTGCTTCCTTAAAGTACAGCTACGTCTCTGTCCTCTTTTTTTTCCCCACCCTTGTGGGTAGAAGCTCACAGATTCGCAGACTGCTGGTGGTGCAGATGGTGCAGAACTGAGATGGCTGCTAAATACAATATCACAATGTTTAGTCTGCAAGGGGGGTTTGGTGCTGTTTAATTGCCTTTGTGCCTCTTTCCACAGGTTCTGGATGACCCCAGTGAGGATCACCTGTACATGGGTAACTGCCCACTGCCCTGGGGTGTCAGAGGGATGGGACAAAAGGTTCCTGCTGTGTTTGGCTGTGTGTGGGGTTGGGTTTCTCTTTCACTCTGAGTATAGTCTGGCTGTGCTGGAGGAGCCAATCCCTCTAATGGCTGGAGCCAATGGGATGCAGTCAGGGTTGAGAACAGACTTTAAAGTGCTTTATAGCACTTTATTGGCTTTAATTAGACATCAGGGCAAGCTTTGCCATGAGAGACACCAGCATTGATGTTCTCAGCCTTGGAGCCAAGCTGCTAGAAAGTAGTTTTATTCCTCTGGCTTTGGGAAGGAAATTATCCAGGGTACAAATGGGCCACTTCCCAACCTGACCACAGTGGTTTTCTTGATTCAAATACAGTTTTGGAGGAAGCATACCTTCTCCATCATTTATGTTCAGCCTGTACTAGTAGAGGAGCATGCAATGCCTTCATGACCAAATGCAGAGGTTTGCTTGGGGCATGGGCTCAGCCTTTTTGGTGGCAAACTGAGGGGTTTAGCATGCTATGGAGGGCACTTCATGATGCTGAAGCTAAGCTGCAGCGCTGAGAAGGGAGTTGGCAGCATCCTCTTAGCTGAAAATGGGAGCAACCCAAATGCCATGTGCCTTGCATAAGACAGCATCTCCTTTTTAAAAATAACACATTATTTTTAGAATTTTTGTCATTAAAATAATTGCTTTTTTGCTGGGACTGTGCTCCCAGGAGCTCTACTCTGTAAGTGATCTATAATCACCTTTTCTTTTGTGTTGCAGTGTTTGAACTGGTGAAGCAGGGGTGAGTACTCAGTTCCAGATTTAAACCTAGTAAAGCATGAACTTGAGATGGGTTGGTGGGTGGCACAGCTCAGCCACCTGAGGGGGATGCAGAAAGCAGAGGCAACGGGGAGGTTCATGGTGGGGTTCCTACAGGTTTGGGTAGCATCTCCCCAACCTAGTTACAATTTTGTACACTCTGTATTTGCCTGTGTTTGGGATTGTGTGCTGTTGCCAGCCAGTGGCAAAGCCTTCAGGACCTGTTTCAGCACATCCAGATGGGGAACAAGCTCTGTCCCCTGTTGCCTTTGCAGCCCTGTGATGGAAATCCCAACCCTGAAACCTCTCAGTGAGGACCAGGCTCGGTTCTACTTCCAGGATCTGATCAAGGGCATTGAATACTGTAAGTGTCTCTGCTAAAAGGATGGGATTTCTTATTTCTGATTTTTCCTAAGCACCTGGAACTGGACTTTCTGCTGCTGTATGGTGCTGTTTCCAGTGGGTCATGCTACTACATGGAGGTTTTTGAAGCTGGGGCTGGTTGTGGTGTTAGTGGATAGACTTGGAGGCATGTGGAGACTTTGTTGCTCCTTTGTTGCACACCAGTGTTGCCACAGCATCACTTGTTTTCCCTTTGGCTGCAGTGCACTATCAGAAGATAATCCATCGGGATATTAAACCCTCTAACCTCCTTGTGGGGGAAGATGGGCACGTCAAGATCGCTGACTTTGGAGTGAGCAACGAGTTCAAGGGAGCTGATGCCCTCTTAACCAACACAGTGGGCACTCCTGCCTTCATGGCCCCGGAGACACTTTCAGAAACCAGGAAAATCTTCTCTGGGAAGGTATTTGATGGCAATTTGAGGGGTTTTGGACTCATCTTCCTTGCACACACTACCTACTGCAGATCTAATTATGCTTTCTTCACTCTGCAGGCTTTGGATGTCTGGGCCATGGGGATCACACTGTACTGCTTCGTGTTTGGGCAGGTAATGAGATGGATTTTCAGTGCAGTTGATGTTTTTGGGGGGGTTGGAATGTGCCTTCCTGTGGGATGGGCACCCTGCATCCCTGTTCAAGCAGTTGGGTATTGCCAAGGGGAGATGGAGATGTGTGGGTGAGAACGGGAAGCCTCTGCCTGTCCCTAGGATTGGAGCAGCCAAAAGGGCTGTGTTTCTCTTTTTCTCTGGGAAAAAAATTCTGTGCCTAGGCAGATTTTTTAGGGAAGGAACTCTTGTAGTAATTGGTAATTTTTGGTCAAATGTTATTTTCATTGCATTTAAAAGTAAGCATTGATATAATACAAAAATCTTCTGGAATTTCCCTTTAGCTGGATCCTTGCTCTCCCTCAAACCCTTTGAGATCCTGATGCTCCTCTGGCTGCCCCACTGCTGCCTCTTAGAGAGGTTGTTGTTTTCCTTATTACTCTTTTTCTTCATGGTAGTGCCCTTTTATGGATGAAAGGATCCTGAGTTTACACAATAAAATCAAGACCCAAACACTGGAGTTCCCAGACCAGTAAGTACTCAAAAATAAAAACAATCCATCACTCCTTATTTTACAGCTCATTTGAGTTATTTCTCAGGCACTGCTTGGGTAGGGCTGGCCCTGCTCTGCTGCACTTTTGCAAAACTCAGGCTCTGAGTTGGCCTTGGTCTTGGCAAACCTCCTTTGCATCAAATGTGAAGGCAACATCTCTTGATCTGCAGTTGCTGAAAAGAAAGATGGAAGTTGCAGAAGTGTTTGAGGGAACAGATAAACCTCTGCAGTTGCTCTTTGATGGGTTTTTGCCTGGGTGGAATTGGTGTTGGGCTCTTCCAGCCCTGTATATCTGGGATTGCACTTCAGATTGCCTCAGAAGGGGATATTTTGCTTCACTTGGGGTTTTAGGGAGGAAGGACCTGGGTATATGAGGAGTTGGAGCTGCATCCCTGCCAGGGCTGAGGTGGCTGGCACTGGGGTGAAGAAGAGGGGCAGCATCCATTCCCTTCCCCATCTCATCTCTCCCTTCTTCTTCCCCCAGGCCGGAAGTTACAGACTTCTTGAAGGATTTGATTACAAGGATGTTGGATAAAAATCCTGAATCTAGGATTTCAGTCCCAGAAATCAAGGTACTGACCCAAATCCCCTGGTGTTGACTGTGACTTCCGTTCTCTTGGGTTCTTCTTGCTTAGCTTTTTTTGGGAGTCAGTTTGATCGCGCCAGGCTAGGTCCTCCCCCTGTGCCCAGGGCTCCTGGGCAGGTAAGTGCCAGCTCCTTCCCCTATTCTGGGACCTGCTCAGCTTTGGGACCTTTGGTGCCTATAGAAGTCACAGGCAAAAGGAAATCCCCTGAGTACAGTATTTCCTCTGCTACCAGGAAAGTACTGTGCAACAGCCTTTCGCAGGAGATTTCTGGTCCTTCGCCCCTGCGAGAGCCTGGAAGGGGCGAGAAGCTGAGAAAATGGAGACTAAGGTAGGGGGAAAGGACTGCGGGGGAATTGCTGAACCATTTTGTGTTCCTCCTGCAGCCAACCAAGACGTCAGGTGTGTGGGCAAGGAGAAAGAGGGATTCTGCCTTCTGTCATGGATTAATGCAGGTCCAAGACTAGGGCTCGGTGGGTCTCTCCATCACTACTGCTCATACATATGGACTGGACTAAATCACTCCTGCCTCTTGGTGCTGTGTCATCCATAAGATAAGAGTGAAATCAGGTCTCATCAAAAAAGTCCACTGAGATGCCCAGTGCTGTAGGTCACCAAGGTTACGGCTTGGTTGCATAGGTGGGGCCAGTGCTGACTCCAGCTGAGTCGCACCACGACTGCTCTGGACTGAGCTGTTCCTGGCGGCGCTGGGGTGAGCTGGCACATCTCTCCCCTGCTCCCTGGTATTTCAGGAGCACCTAGGGACCATACCTTGGACAAGGAGATCTGTTTGCCAGGCTTGTTTGAGTTATGAAAAAGAAGAAATCGTTCCTGACAGGCTCTGTTATTAATTGAAGTTGCACCCTTGGGTCACCAAGAACGGAGCGGAGCTGCTGCCCACAGAGGATGAGAACTGCACCCTCATTGAGGTGACGGAGGAGGAGGTGGAGAATTCAGTCAAACACATCCCCAGCCTGGCCACAGTGGTGAGTATGAAGGAGTTGATGGTCTGTGGGCACACACCAGGGTCCATGCTGCCTGCTGGGGGTCCTGAGCAGTTGGAGGTTGCTACTGAAGGGCAGGATGAAATCAAAGACCTTTCCTCTCTCAGAAAAAGGTGCTGCAAGACACTTCAGCATCTCAGGGTCTCCAGGGTCTCAGCATCTCACTGAAGGTGGCCATACCCCCATGGTGCAAGGGAATATTCCAGGGCAGTTCCAAAGGGACCAGTCATCAGGTTGCTGGTCTCCACTCTTGAGCTGGCTGCCCAAATATCACTATATTTGCTCAGGGCTACAGAGCATCTGGTCCACGATCTGTCCACAGCTAGGAGCAGGTGTTTTGGCCAGGCACAAGTAGCTCCTGCCCTGTTCTGCCTGTTCGGCCCTCGGGGCTGCAGGAGCTTCCCAGGATGGAGATTTTATCTGGGCCACAGCGTGCGCCAGCCCCCGCCTGGAGCTATTCTTGGTGACTTCATCTCAGCTCTTTTCAAGCTTGTATTTTTTTTTCTCTGCAACCCACTGTGGTGGTGAGAAGCATGGTGTAACCCTGCCCTGTGTGGAAAGCAAAATCCTTTTGGGTTTTGAACCTAATGATTCCTTTGGGTGCTGCTAGCCCTTATGCTAGGAGATACAGCGAGCACCTGTTCACAGTTCCCTGGTGTGGTGTTATTTGCCTGTAGACACCAAGGCAGTGATTATTTTGAAGTACAGGTCTCCCTTTGAAGCCTCTTTTCTGTCCCATGGCTGTGCCCACATCTGGCCCCGTTTCTGGAGCTCTCTCCTGCGTCGGTACCCTGCGGAAGTCTTGTTGACTGCTGATATGTTAATATGCAAATGTGCCTTGAGCTGCTCAAGCTGAAAAAGCAGATCTCACTCTACAGAGATCACCACTGATGAGGGCGTTTTCCCCTTTTTTCTGTTCAGATGGGACTTGATCAGTGGGCTCAGTGCTCCTGGCCCAGTTGAAATCCAGGTGTGTTTAGCACAGCTCAGGGCAAAGGAGCTTTTACTGTGTCTCAAAAAAACACACTGCCTCCAGGCAGATCTTGTATTTTCACATTTGCATTTGCTCTTCAAAATCACCCTCCAGTGCCTGATCTTTGTGCAGTTAAGTGTGGGCTCCAGTACGAGATTCAATCATGTGTCTTCGACTCTTGCATAAATTGCTTTCTCCTTCGGACACCTAAGGGCTCTTGGTGTGCTGTGATGAGCAGATATACAGCGCACAAAGGGATGAGAAGCAACATCAGATGAAGCCAGGGGTTCCCGGAGTGGGATGCACGTGCTGAGGCAAGGTCCAGTACTGCTCACCTTGTTCTCAGCTCCCACCAGCAAAACAATTTGGGAGATGCCTGGGAAGAACCCTGCCACTTCTCTGTTCCCAGCAGTCCCTGATTGCAGCTGACACTGGATAACTTTGTGTTTTGCAGCCAAAGCTAGACAAACAGCCAGTTTTTCAGACTGGTTGTGCTGAACATTAAGGCAAAATTGTGCTGGTTCCTTCCTTCCGCTCTCTCTTTCCAATGAATTCTGCCAGGTAGTCATGGGGAGCTGGAAATTTGCACATACCAGATGCAATAATGAGTAAAACCTACTTCCAGGGGAAAAAAGTCTTGGCGTTACTCTCCTTTCCAGCCTCTCACACCTAGTGTGACTCTCATCTGCGTGTTCAGTTGTCACAGTGTGGGTTTCAGAGGAGGATGCAGCCCGTGTATTAAGCAGCTGGAGACATGCAAACATGTTTCCTTCTGGTTTGTTTGGGTTTTCTTTAAGAACTTTGACTTGTTTTCTCTAGTTTTCTTCATTACTCAGGCATGAGGGCTGGATGTTCTTGTAGCTCTTGAATGAAGGGAAAGCATCCCTGATGAACTCCAGTGTGATTTTGCAGATCTTGGTTAAAACGATGATCCGGAAGAGATCCTTTGGGAACCCGTTCGAGGGGAGCAAGAAGGAGGAGAGGTCGTTGTCTGCCCCTGGGAACCTGCTGCCGTAAGTGTCATCACCTCACCTTGGCCTGTAAAGACATTTGCAGCTTGACTTCATGCTCTGGAGGAGAATTTGAGTAGTTGGGCTTTGAATCTTCCATGGGGGCCATGACTGGGACATTCACACACTGTCTGATCTGCAACTGCTTTATGGAATTTTTGTGATATGGAATATTCTGTCCTGATGGGATGAAAAGCATCTTTTTATGGCATTTCCGGTTAATTGGGAGCTGTGCGGAGGTGACACATGCTCAGGGTCCCAAAGGTCCCATGGCAGGGAAGGAGCAGATACTGTTGTCTCATTCACAGAATCATAGAATCATCAAGGTTGGAGAAGACCTCCAGGATCATCAAGTCCAACCATTAACCTGCCACTCTGCTGTAAATTTGCCTGCTTAGCCTTTGTCTGCTTCATTCATTAGCTATTTTACTTTCTTTGAAAACAGGAAACAAGGCAGTGAAGATAATCTGAAATGCAACGACTTGCCCAATGTGGGAGAGGAGGAACTTCTTTTGTGAACATTGACTTTATGTTCTGTTGAGCAACTCAGTCCAGGGCACGTTGTAATGTGTGCAGCTGGGGATGAGCAACGTTAACAGAACCCGCAGCAAACACAGCATGACACGGCACTATCTCGGTATAATGCTGGATGTAGAGCACACAGCAGCATGTTATCAGACATCCAACGCTTTGTCATAAACATTGGACATCTCCAATCACTTGGACTGCTGACTTCTCGTGGGAGAGGCGCTGGCAGAGAACAGAGGGGTGAGCTGTTGTGGTGAGCAGCACCTCAGTGCTTTGCAAAAAAACCCAACCCAAAGCAGTCAAAAAAAATGCATTTGGAACTGCTTTTAGCTGGTTTTAATGCCAAATAATCTCCAGGGCCTAACACCAGCGTCGCAGGGCGGTGCGAGCCCATCGCACTGTCGTGGGCACATGCTGAAGGGTGAAGCCTTTGCCAAGTGGGACACACAGCAGTAACACCACAGTGCACACTCTGAGAGTTCACAGCCTACCGAGAATGTTGTTGCATTTATTTCTCGTCCTTCTGGTTTGTTTTTAATTGACATCTTTTTAACTGCATGGGAACAAAGCAAAAACCCCACCTTTTCAGCTTTTTAAGGAATGCCTATCTTTGTGAGCCAAGTTGTATTAAACAGCATCTTCAGGAGGTTCAGAAAATGAGGTTGATTACCTCCTCGGGGTAATCAACCAAGGGCCTTGGTGTGACTAGGTGTTGGTAAGTTAGGTATTCAGTGTATGAAAGGAAAAGGTATTTAAGGGCTTAAGTTCAGTTTGAACTACTTTTGCTGCAGACATATGAGTGAAAGGTGGTGTTTAGCTGAATGTTTTGAACAACAGAGGAAGCACTAACAGTTTGTTTCTAAATCTTTTACTTGATCTAGGTAGATATATTATTAAATACAAAATTCAGGGTAAAATCCTTCACTTCCATGTACATTACATGGTTTACTACGACTAAAAATAGTACAACTTATGCTGTTTTTTAAGTATAGACTTAGGGCTTGCTTAGAGTTTAATATCTTAATATAATACTTAGATTAGCTAGTAATTTTCAAAGAAACCTTTGTTTTCCAAACCCTTAATCTGGATTCTGGGGCCAATGCTATGTATTTTTTGCAAGTTCATTACCAGTATTTTGTGAATGCCTGTGGATCAGAGGCTTGTTAGTAAATTAAGTGTATACCTAATTCATGGATTGTTTCTTATGAAGAGCTCTTTCACCTTCAGTCAGATTACTCTGATTATTTGTGGTGCTTGTAAAAGTAATAATCTATCATGTGGTGAGAGAGACTCTGATGTCCAGACACACTGTCCCAAGTTCTCTGTGCTCGAAGCTGGAGAACAGCAGAGTGGGTGAGCTGGAGAGGAGTCAGGGTTTGCCTGAGGAAAGGGGTCACAGTAAGTACAGCACTTTTGTGGATGGAGTATGGGACTGCCAGGAAAGGTCTCATCTCCTCTCAGTCTGATGTGGTTGTGTGACTCTGAATGAGGCATTTACAATGATGGTGTACCTGACAGAGTGGGAGGATTCAAGTCTCCCAAGTGTGTAAGGGACCACTAAGGTGTAATTATTTGCTCTGAGGAAGAAGACAGTAGGAGACACCCAAGTATTTTGATTAACACTAAGATCTCTGCATGCTAACCCTGGCCATGGACACCCTGTCTTTAGGAAGTGACTGTCCCCTTGTCTTCCTTGATCCTGGGCAGCACAAGCAGCAGCACACTGAAGTCCTTGGTCCTGCTGCAGTCAGACCTGGCCTGGTAATTCCTGGTTACACAGGTGTTTGTTAAAGCCAGGACAGCTTTAGCAAGGGCACAGGTGCCTACACAAGCTGTCCCTTACACCTTTTGATCACTTGAAGTGAAGTCCTCCCTAAATTGCAATTTATTATGGACTCATTGTGGTGCTGGCCTGTCTCCAAAGCCAGTGAGGACTGTTTGTGGTTTAGGAGCAATACTATGGAGTTTGGAGCCATAAGACAGGCACAGTTTTCCTCCCATTTTAGTCTGAGGCTATGCCAAATTCCTGCAGCTTCATCTATGGGGAAACCAAACAGGTAACTTGGGGACCAGCACTGCTACAGCTACCTGCTCCCCCTTTCCTGAACAGGACTTTTCATTGTGGGATTGTGTGTGAGTGGGCAGCCTGCAAATGGACTTGATCTGCCAAAAAAAAAGTAAAAAAATAGGGGATCTGATTGTTTGTAGCTAGTGCATAGTGATGTGTGTGGTGTGTTTGTCAGAGGTGTGTTGTAGAGATGCTGTGTGCTGCCCATCTCTGGTTGTGATTTGTCAGGTGCCTCGTGAGACAGTTTACATTTACCAAACAGGTTTGCCAGGTGCAACACAGCTTCTCAACAGACCAAGCTGTACCAGTCCCTTGATGCCCAGCCACAGTCACTGGGCCTCAGATATTACCATAGAGCAGTGTCTTATGGCTAGCATGGGCTTGGTTCCTAAGGATGCTAAAGCTCAGCACTTCCGCAGGGAAGTGTCCCTCAGTGCCAGCCCCATGGGGCTGCAGCCAAACGCTCATTTCTGAAGGAAACAATGCAGATTTCTCTTGTCGGTTGGCTCTGTTGAAAGCATACAGTGTGGCCCTGTGAGGAAGATCTCTCTAAATGCATGAGCTGTTAGAGAAGCTGTACTGTGTATATAAACCTGCTCAGTTCCTCAGCTGCTGTTCCTTAGTAGTAACTCTGGCTTTTTTCTTATAGTGAAGTAAACATTTTGCTTGTGCCTTGGAACTGGGCTATAGCTTGATTTCCCCAACTCCCTTCCTTTCAAGCAAGCCCAGTGCTGACTGTAGGCTTATTGCTGGGTACTAAGCCTTTTTGGCTCTGAAAGCACACAGGAAAGTGCTAAGGGGAAACCAGGCTTCTTGTCTGAGTAGTTTTTCATGGTGGTCCCCTCTTACCTATCAGGCAATTTATCTGTTTCTTTTCTAAAGTCCTGTACTATTGCTGACTTTTATACTGTTTGTTTAATGACCAAGGCTTGTGTTTCATTACTACCCCTTTATTATGCATTTAACTTTATCAGGTGTATCAAGTTTAAATACTGTGTATTTACCACTTTTAAATTATATTACCTAAGGAGAAAGAAAAAACAAAGCAACAACTAAGTGTTTTTCCACACAGCTGTTCAAGCTTCACTGTACAAGTTGAAATAAATGACATGCAACCAAACCCAGAGTTAGTTGATCAAGTGGAACCATTATCCTGTTTGACTGGTCTTTTTCAAGCTGTGAGAGGGACCTGGAAGCACTTTCCTATGTTAGTGAAGTCTGGTGGTCTACCATGACTGGGGACTTTGGGCTAGGATGAGACGACAGAGGCTTGAGCCACTGCATAATCCAAACTGGGCATTCACAGGCACAGACTGCAGTGCTGGGTCTTGGAAAGGCACCATTTAAGTTGGGACACAACTCACTGCTCAGCAGCAGCAGCAGACAAATAAAGAATCAAACAGAATGACAATGCTGTGGTATACCCACTGTGCTGCTGAAAAAAGGCAGCAAAGCCCCAGCCCAGGATGCTGGAGGTATGGAATAGATCCCAGGGCTCTTTAACACTAGAAAAGGTTCAGAGAAAGGGAAGAGCTGGACTTTGTGTGACAGTGTGATCACTAGAGATGCTCAAAGCCATGTAAAGATAAAAGCCAGCAAATTCACTTCAATCATATTGTGTAAACCCATTAAATGCAGCAGCCCAGATCCAGGGTTTGTGTGGTGACATAAAGCATGGGAGAAACAGAGCTGTTCTTCCCAGCAGTTGGTACCAGAGTATGGCTAATGTCCCTAAGACCCTCACCTCTGACTTACAAGTCTTTTGCCCTGGAGAGGGTTTTAATGCAACAGACAAGGTGTCAGGAGAACCAAGGTGGAGCTGAAGCTAAAGTTGCAGCAGGACTCCTGCTGGGAGAATCAAGAGGCAAAGCCCACAGAGCCCTGGCTTTGATAGCTCTCCACTCACAGATGGTATCCAGGGAGAAATGAACAAGCAAAGCCCATCTTGCAGGACTCTAAGAGGACCGAGAGATGGTAATATTTTATTAAAGTAAATTTTAAAGTAGTACTCCAAAAATTAGACAGAACAGGGGAAAAAAAGGGTAACCAGTAAGCCATTTATCACAGCACAATGGAGCCAGACACTGCTTTGTCTTAGTCTGTGGCCACTGGAGCTTGGAGACACAATTAAATAGTAAGCACAGGCTCAGCTAAGCTTCACAATCCTTCAGGATAAGGAAACATGAAAATAGCAAGGAGCTGCTCTCCCAAGGTTAGGCAGCACCTGGCAGGAGCCATGCTCATTGTAATTCCTGTGCCCTCTGCTACCTGTGAGCTCAGGGAAAGAAGGACTGTCAAAATGCTGATGTGGGAGCAGTTCCTGCCCCAGGCTTGGCCAGTACAGAGGCCTCTTATGAAGCACAATTCTTCCTCTGTGCTTAGTACAGTTAATCTGGAAAGACAGCAGACAAGGAGCAGCCCCAGTACTTCCCTCTGGGGGTTGGCTCCAGCCAGCAAAAGTAGTGAAGAAGAGTGAAGATGGTCCCTTTCTCAAGTTTGTTCCCAGCTTCCTTCCAGCAAGGAGTGGGTGGTCTCATGGCAGGGTCAGAGTAACATTCACAGCAGCAGTTTAGAGCAGCAGTTGGTGCTGCAGCAGCAGGAGCTCAGGTGTCTGTTCCATATGTCTCACCGACTCCCTGCAAGTATCAGAGATTACAGTTCTCTGACAAAAACCTCTGCTTTCTCCCTCTTCCTCTCACATAAAACCCTCTGCACAGCCAAGCTACTCTCTACTACTCAGGCGTTACTTTTCCGATGCCACGAGGTGTTTGGATTCAGAAACCTGCCCTCTGCAGCAACACTTCCCATCAAGCACAGGGCTGTAGGGCTGAGCTCTGCCCTCAGCACCAGCCAAGCAACCCACTAAATCCTTCTGCTGGTCAGAGACCCTGGAGGGAGCCATAGCTGTAGCTGTGAGCACACTGGTCTCAGAAAATACCAAACCACTGAATAGGTTTGCTTACAGCTGCAGGAACCCCAATAGCCAAGGAAGTATTTGATGGGAACAGAGCTGCTGCCTACAGCTGTTGGAAGGCAACTGCCAATGACTGCAA